ATAAAGTAAATTAAAATTTGCACTTAAGTTTTTTCGATTCGGTGATCGACATAACCTTGTACACATTTACGATGTGCAATGCTAACTCTAAATTAGGTCATCCCTAACTCTAAATAGGGCTAAACTATCTGTAAAAATTTAGTTGGCTACGTATGGTTCCATGTTCATATATATATATATTTTAGTATATACAAAGATGCTAAGTTTAAAGAATGTCAATAATAAAAAAAAAAAATTATAAACAATTCTTTTTTTGTAACAGGTAAGTGCTTATCCGAACCATATGTCCAAACTTGTCAATTTACTCTGTTTTTAGCATCGAATCACATTAAAATTTGAAACTGTACTGTCTTCACGAAAAAAAAAAAATAGAATTTTTTTAAAACGCAGGGTAAAATCACATCATCTGTGATTAATGAAAGTTAACAATCGTATACTGTATTTACGTTACTGTACGTATATACACAGTTGTACGTAGACTTCATGTGCCATATTCCTAAACAGGTGGTTTACCAATTAATAGCATCCAAATTTATATATCAGCTTAATCCTCATCTTTTAAACCATTTAGTTATTTTCTATACTTTTGACGTGTTTTTCGTAAAAAATCATAGAAAAATTATCGCGAAATCATCTCTACTATTACTATTCCTAAGTGTGTCATTAAAAGGTATAAAGTTTGTAAAATTGTCAAAAGACCAGGAGATCAAAGCTGATAGAACTGGTTTTTTTTTTGTATAGAAGAATTGGACTTTACAAATGTCAAGGATTCCAATTGCTAAAAGGCCTGAGGGGAAGCCCACTAAGGGCACCCCTGTCCAGGTATGGGCGAACTTTCTGCCCATTACAAAAGTATGTATATATGTAAAAACTGGTTGATTTATTTTTGAAAAGCTGAATACTAACTTATTCATATATATAGTTTCAATATCCACAAATTCAATCATATTCCTTAGAAATTACTACTCAGATGAGACAACAAGCAAATAAAAAGGATTCAGAAGCTGTATTTCTTCAAATGTGCAGAGAAAAAAAATTTGGTGAAAGAGCTTCACCTGCATATGATGGAAATTTAGTATATTCTATTATTGATATTTGTAACGGTTCTAAATCTAAGCGATTTGATGTATAGTTAGATTCTTTTAATTTTTGAGTTTTAAATTTTTTTTTTTTTTTTAAAAAAAAAAAAAATTAAATTAAATTTTATTGGTCTATATAGGTCACAGTTCCAGCTCAAGACGACGTTGGTCGTCCAAAACGGTTTACTGCAATACTTAAATATGCTCGTCCTTTTGATCTTAAAGAGATGAGAGAATATATTAGAGAAAAGACTGATCAACCATGGGATGGAACCATTCAAAATATCTTAATTGTTCTTAACGCGTTCCTTAATTCCAAGGTTCGTACTCAACATTTAACTCTAGGTAGGAAAGCTATCTTTCCAAAACCTGAGGAAAATAGACGGCGTTTCTTGCTTGGAGGTGTTGAACTTTTATCAGGATACTGGCAAAGTATTCGTCCTGGATGGAGTATGTTGTAAAAAAAAAAAAAATTTTTTTTATTTTATTTCTTTTTGCACTTATTTTTTTATACTTTTTCTAAATTTTATTATTTATTCTTTTATTTCGCGATTGGATATTAAATAGATCAATTACTTATCAATGTTGATATATGTCACGCTACTTATTATCCAAGTGGTCCAATGCTTGAGGTTATTCCCAAAGTTCTTCGCCTATCACCTAAAGATAAAGAAAAATCAAAAGATGATTTACGATGTGGACTTTCCAGACAAGAAATTGATATTATATCTAGATTTTTTAAGGATGTTAACGTAACAACTAGTTATCGGGGAAATAATGGAATAAAACCAAAGCATAAAATTGTACAAATTACTTTTAAATCTGCTGATGAAATTACGATAAACTCTCAAGGCAGAAGAATTAGTGTCACTCAACAGTATAAGAATGAGGGTGTTAATTTACAATACCCTATGCTTCCATGCGTGCATGCAAAGAAACCAAAATTCGGGGATGTATATTTACCTTTAGAAATTTGTGTTGTGATTTCTGGTTAGTTTTTACTTATGTCTTTACTGTCTTTAATTATCCTTACTGTCTTATTTATTTTTTTTTTTAACTCTTATATATATTTAAAATTATGTTTTTATTAGGTCAAAAATATAGCACTGAAATTCTAAATTCACCTCAACTACGTGATATGATTGAGAAAACAGCTTCAAAACCAAAGGAGAGATTTGATAGAATTATTTGGGGAAGTAAGACTATTTATAAACATTCGACTGATGAAGCCTTACGATCTATTGGAATGGAAGTTGGTCCTCAATTTGTTCAATTAACATGTAAGCTATTATAATTTTGTAATATCCTATTAAATTAGTATTAAATTTTATTATTGTTAATTTATCTCCGTATTTACTTTTATTAGCTCGAGTACTCCCTGCTCCAAAATTAATTTCACATGAAGAATCTGAAATTATTCCACAATTAGGTTCTTGGGATTCTAAAAGATTTATTAAGGTATATTTTTATACCTCTTTTTTTTTTTTTTTTAATAAAAATGGCAAAAAAAAATAAATCATTTTTAATAATAAACGTTTTGGTTTATATTAGGGTGCTGACCTATTCAATTGGTCTGTTGTTGTTTTTGAAGATCCAAACATTTTACCTAGGGCTCAGGTCCAATCTGCATTAAAGATATTGATGGAAGCATTAGAGCTAAAAGGCCTGGAAAGTCTTATAATTTAAATCATTATGAAAAAAATTTTTCATTAGCATTTAGCATTGGATTAACCTTAATTTTTTTTTTTACTACAGAATGTACACACTAAACAACCTAAAATCACCTATGGTAATCCACAGGGAGATTATGCAAAAGTAAGTATATAGTTTTAATTAATTTTAATTAATTAATACCAATTATTAATAAATTATTACTAAATTATTAATTGTAATTTATTTATTTCTTTAAAAGTCGTTAACAATTGCTGCTCAAAATGCAAGAGTTAACCAAAATAGGCCACCTCAATTAATTATCTGTGCCATTCAAAGGAAAATAAATGGTTCTTCTGGAATACATCCACAGATTAAAAAAATTTGTGGTGTTGATTTAGGTGTTGTATCACAATGTGTTATTGCTGGAAATATGAGAGGTGATATTGTAAAGTGGAGACAAATTTGTGGAAATATTGCCCTTAAAATTAATGGAAAATTAGGTGGAAAGAATTATTCATTGGCTAAGAACGAACTCAAATTCAAGGCAGAGAAAAGAGTAAAAAATGAAAAAATTATAAACTTATGAGTCATATATATATATATATGCATGTGTAAATGTTTATTTTTTTTATTTTTTTTTATTTTTAGCATATGGTATTTGGTGCTGATGTATTCCATCCTGGCAGAGAGGATAAGAAAGGTCGCCCATCTGTGGCTGCTGTTTGTGCTTCAATGGATGCCACAACGACTACATATGTTTCTCGTTATCGTATGAATAAAACATTAAGAAATGAAATAATAGAGACGATTGACGATATGGCCGTAGAATTACTTGAAGAATTCAAAAGAAGAAATGGTGCTCTTCCTGATCAAATTATATTCTATCGTGATGGTGTCGCAGAAGGCCAATTCGAAAAAGTTATGAATGAAGAAGTTGAATTGCTAAAACGGGCATTCGTAAAGTTTTATTCTTCAAAGCCTCCTCCAAAGCTTACATTTATTATTGTACAAAAACGTCACCATGCTCGGTAAATTAATAACCATATTGTGCTAGAAATTATCTTATTGCTCATAATATCACTTTTTTTTTCTTTTTTATAGGTTTATGCCCGTTGATCCTAAAAATTCTGGTCCTAATGGAAGCGGAAATTGTCTCCCAGGAACTGTAGTTGATTCCGGAATTGTGGTACCTCAATACTTTAGTTTTTGTAAGCATAATTTATATTACTGTGTTGGGATTCGGTTATCATCAAAATTTTTAGTAACTCTAATTTCACATATTTATTAGATTTACAATCACATGCCAGCCCGCTTGGTACTGCTAGGTCAACGTACTATCATGTGATATTGAACGAAGGTGATTTTTCTGCTGATGAGATGTATGAATTGACGTATAAGTTATGCTTTTTGTCTGTTAGGTAATTATTATATTCATTCTTCAATATTTTTATCTTTGCAATATAATCAACTAAATTTTTTAAATCAACTTTTTTTTACCAAGATGTAATCTATCTATTTCTCATGTCACTCCGGTACATTATGCTCACCATATCGCAAATCAAGCAAAACACTTTGTTACATTTGATGAAATTGTAGATGATTTTGGTGGTCGTGGAGGTAGAGGCGGTAGAGGTCGTGGGGGTCGTGGAGGCCGTGGCGCCCGTGGAGGTCGTGGTGCCCGTGGAGGTCGTGGTGGCCGTGGTGGTGGAAGAGGTGGTGGTCCTCTCGAACCAGGAGAACGTCCAACAGTTCTAAACGGAGATTGGCAACGTGTAAAACCTACTATTGAAAATACTATGTATTTTGTATAATGAAACTTAATAATACAATAACTATGTATCATAGGATTGATAATAATTTGCTGATTATTCAGACATTTGATATAATATGCATTTAGTTTTTATCTATATATCATACGTAAAAGAATTTTTTATTTTGTTAATTCATCTTTTTTTAATGGGTATGTTTAATTTAACACTTTTAATCTTGATTTTTAAAATAAATTTTTGTTAATATGTAATGTAAAATGTCATAGTGTTATATATAGTTTCAGAAATAATGGGTAATGTAATGTACATTGACATTACTTGTGAAAAACTAAAGTCCAAGTAAGCGTCAATATTTTGCTCAGATCCATAAGAGCCATGCATTCCAATAATTTTATCTTTAGGGCCTACTGATTCTTTGAATATTACCGGTTGAAAGTTCTAGATAAAATGAGCAATAAGAGCAATAATACTGTATCAAAGAATCTCTAACTCGATGATAGATGATAATGAATACTCTATCAGTTAATTTTCTGATTTTATTATGAGTTTCTTGTGGTTAACCGTTTAAATAAATGTTTCGAGAAATGAATGAAAATAATATCTAGTCTATACGTATGTCAAAAATAAGATTGTTTATTAACATTTGTAAATATATAACCTTTCGTCAAATTTATCTCAACTACGTGGAACAAAAAAGAGGCCACATATATATATATTTAAGCTTCCTGTTTTGTAGATCTAAACAAATATTAATATTTCTCATGTCGTGTAATTACGTTTTTATAATATCTTAAAGATTATATTATTTAAAGTTTTATAGCTTAAATGGATTTAAGTTCTTAATGTACGTACGTACGTACGTAAATAAATACATCAGATATAGTACATGTACTAATTTGCTCGAGCAGTTTAGCTGTAATTTGATTAAGTTGGTAATATTTAAACACGCTTAAAATTGATTTTATTTCAAAAAATTAATAAGCAATGTTACAATATTATATAAATATTTAATTAGCAATTCAATATAAGAAAAGCATTTTTGTCTTAAATTTTTGGGTTAAATACAGTATATACTGTAGTATGAAATCTTTTTTTTTTTTAATATTCAGTATATACAGTAATTATAAGAAATAAAATATTAATAGATAATTCTAAGCAAATTAATAACAATTTTCTAAAAAATTTTATCTAAAAATTGATTTAGTAAATAATAAAATATAGTATTAACATTTATTGATCTATAGTATAGATAAGTATATATATATAGGATTAGAATAAAGATTAGTTTAAATTAACTCAAAGTAGCTAATTTTTATATATTATAAGTTAATAATTGTGCCCTTCTATACTATAAAAGATTCTATAAAATTTTTTTTTTTTGTTAGTTTTTATAATTGAAAACAATTAATATATTATACTATATAAAACCTAGGTCAACAGATAAACTAGTCTGAGCTCTTACTCTTGCATGTAATTTATATTTATTTGTTTATATAAATTGCTTAATAAAGATATGAGCAAGGCTTCACCTTAACACCAAAAATTTATACTATAATTAAGATTTGTTAAATTACTAAACTAAAAATTAAAAAACAGCCTAATCAAATAAATAATTTTATTATTGTATAAATATATTTTATATATATATACTATATATACAGTATTACTTAACCAATTTGACCAATAGCAATTTGAAATATATATATACAAATTTGATAGTATTTGGCACTTTACTAAAAGTGGGTATCTTATACTGTCATACTGCATATACAGTATATATTAATAAAAATACAGCCAGAAAAAACTAAGCATAGGTCTTTTACTTCAAAACTTATATCTTTGAAAATTGGGTACGCGTATAACTGGAATTATTTGATGCATTTTTTTTTTAAATAATTGCGTATTACAGCAGTTCTCATAATTCCAGAATAAGCTGAAAAAATTTGCACATTTACCGAAATTTCTTCGGGTTCGTCCTAAGAATTATCTACTCTTCGAATCTACATCGCTATTTCCAAAGTAATTTCCAAGAGAGATAATTCATGAACGAAACCGAAAAGACTTCAGTAAACAAGCAAATTTTTTAGCCTGCCCCAAGATATATGGGAGCAGCTGTAATAATGACTAGAAAACTATGTTGTTGAATATATTTTTCAAAGCTGAGTCTGGTAAGTTTAAACTTAAAGACCGAAGTCTGGTTTTCTTTTGACAGCATTCATATGGTTCTGTCCAGTGTTTAAATTTGATATTCTCAGTGTCCTCTGAGAACATTACATAAATTTTGAGAACATGTTAAAACAAATTTCCTATTTGAGAACTCTTTTAATATTAAAGAAAAAATTTAATTTTCTTATGTAGAAATCATTAAAACTCAAGTATTTGAAAACATAAAATCAAATTTGAATCAGTGTATATGTTGTACGTTGGAACGGAATTATTGTGGATTTAGAATCCACCTAGGTTGGAACAGAATTCCAAATGTAGCCTGAGTTGATA